CTCTGGGGGGCCCCTCTGGGGGCTCCTCCCGGGGGCCCCTCTAGGGGGGCCCCTCCGGGGGACCCTAGGGCCTCAGGAGGCGCTGCGCTAAGGCATTCAGCTCCAGCGAGACAGCCACTGTGGGGGTGCCCCCTTCGTGGGGGCCCCCCTGGTGGGGGCCCCCTTCGTGGGGGCCCCCCTCAGGGGTGAACCCAAAGCTCTTTTCCATAACCTTGAGAGCGAGCTGGGGCACGACGCATGTCACCTGCTGCTCGTTTGAAGCCTGCTGCTGCTGCAGCTGCTGCTGCAGCAGCTGCTGCTGCAGCAGCAGCATGCATGTGCAGAAAAAGGCCTCCGCAATTCCTTTTCGCCTCTCTTTCGGGGCGACAAAGATTCGCTGAATGCAAATGGATTTATTTTGGACTCTAGTGAATGCCAAGTAGGCAACGAGCTCTCCGGGGCTGTCTGTACACCGCAGCCGCCGCAGCAGGAAGTAGCTGCTCGGCGCTGCAGCTGCAGCAGCAGCAGCAGAGGCCCACGGCCAGGCCTTCTGCCTTTCTGCAGAGCTCAGGCTCGAGACGACGGGGTCCGACAGCTCCAGGGCCTCTAGCTCCTCCACTGTCTGCGCCCACTCTGCTGCTGCTGCTGCTGCCGCTGCTGCGGGAGGGCTCTTCTGCAGCAGCTGCAGGGACAAGGACCGCAGCAGCAGCACGCAGGGGGCCGCATGCAGAGGCAGCAACGCTGCAGCAGCACTTGGCACCGCCTCGGCGCTGTTGGGCACCGGCGGCAGCAGATCTCCGAACCTGCAGATACACCGCAGAACTACTTGGGGTGTACGTACACCTCATGTGTACGTACACCTCGGGTGTACGTACACCTCGGGTGTACGTACACCTCGGGTGTACGTACACCTCGGGTGTGCGTACACCTCAATTCGGGCTCGCGCTTGCGGGCGAATGCAAATGCAGATCTGCTGCAACTGCTGGGGCCTCCCTGTTAGTGAAAAACTAATTTGTTTTTCATATTAATTTTAATTTTAGTTTTAGTTTTAATTCTTACTTGTGGGTGTCCGAAAGCACAAAGTTGTCCACTATGGAACACCCCGGGGCCATCCTTATGGCCACAGCCACACATATCTGGTCATTTTCCGGCAAAGAGCCCTCATCCCCCTGTGGGGGCCCCTCAGGGGCTTCACAAGGGGCCCTTCTGGGGGCCCCTGTGGGGCCCCCCGTGGGGTCCACATTAGGGGTACCCCCGGGGGCCCCCTCACTGGCCCGCCGGGGGGCCCCCCGGGGGGCCCCCAAAGGCACTATTGGGGCTCCATCTGCTTGCCGGTTGAATGCAAGGTACTCCAAATGAGCCCCAACGCGTTCTGCTGCTGCTGCTGCTGCTGCTCTGAGGGCCCCGATTTGCCGAGTGCCTTTGTTGTAGAGGGCCTCGACCTGTACGTACACCGCAGCAGCCAGGGCCAGTGAGTTTGGGCAGCAGCAGCAGCAGCAGCAGCAAGTAAGCAGCACAGCACAAGCAGCAGCAGCAGGAAAAAGCACATCAAACAGCAAAAAAAGCAGCAGCAGCAGCAGCACGTCGCACAGCACAAGAAGCAGCAGCAGGAGCAAGCGGCACAGCCCAAGAAGCACAGCACAAACAGCAACAGCAGCAGCAGCGAACACACCACACAGCACAAGCAGCAGCAGCAGCAACAAGCACATCACACAGCACAAGCAGCGGCAGCAGCGGCAGCAAGCACATCGCACAGCACAAGAAGCAGCAGCAGCAGCAAGCACGTCGCACAGCACAAGCAGCAGCAGCAGCAGCAAGCGCATTGCGCAGCACCAGAAGCAGCAGCAGCAGCAGCAGGCAAACCTCACCGCAGCAGCACCAGCAGCAGCAGCAGCAGCAGGAAGCAGCTCACTTCTTTGAGCACAGCGCAGGCCTCTTGGGCCTTTTCGAGCTGCTGCTGCGTCAGCCTTTTGTTGCGGGAAGCAAAAGGGAGGCCCTGGGGGCCCCTGGCTGTGGGGCAGAGGACTACTCGGGTGTCTATACACCCGGAGCTGACTAAGCTGCGCATGCAAACTGTTTGCAAAAAGTCTTTTTGGCCAAAATAAATTAAACTTGGCCTCACCAGACTCAGCAGCTTCAACACTACTTGCCCAACTCCTGCGCAGCAGCACCAGCAGCACTTTGCTTTAGTGCTGCAGCGCCAGCAGCACTTTGTTTTAATGCTGCAGCACCAGCAGCACTTTTATTTTTACTTCAGACTCATTTTGCTGCACCCGCATCCTCTTTATTTAATTTCCAGTTCATTTTGCCGCACTCGCAGCCTTTTTTTTTAATTTTTAATTCACTTTGCTGCACTCGCGGACTTTTTACTTCATTTTTAATTCAATTTGCTGCACTCTCTGCCTTTTATTTTGTTTTAATTCGATTTGCTGCACCCGCAGCATTTAACTTTATTTTTAATTCAACTTAATGTCACTTTTTTAATTTTAAATTCTCTTTTTATTTTTCCGGACATTTATCTCTTCCCCGCCTCCCCGGCTGCCGCGCAGGTGTACGTACACCCGAGCGGCTGGGAGGCGCAGAGCGCTGAGAATCTTTTCGCTTTCTTTTCGGGAGAAATCGGCATTAGGGCTTTTAAAAAGAAAGATAAATGCTTTTAAAATGAAATTATCTGCTGCTGAAGCGCTCAGTAGGCCCGGGAAGCGCTTTTCAAAAAGTGCAAAAAAGCGCTGCATTGAGGTGTACGTACACCCCAGATCCGCTACAGCTAGCCACTTGGGGTGTATGCGCAGCTCCTCCTCGCCTTACCCCGAAAGAAACCCGGCCGTCTCTTTCCCTCTCCCTCCACTTCTTCAATTCCGTCAAAGTCCACCACCAGCTCGGCAAAGGGGACCCCTCTGCGCTGCGCGGGGGCCCCCACCGGGGGGCCCCCCGCCGTGGGGCGCCCCCCGGGGGCCAGCCCCTCCCCGGGGGCCCCCACCGGGGGGCCCCCCCCGGGGGCCCCCGCGGGGGCCCCCCTCCTGGGGGCAAGGTGAGGGTACATTTCGGAGGCCTCGGGGAGGAAAAGGACTTGGGCGTTTGTTTGAGTTGTGAGGAGATGCAAGTCTTCTTCAACTTTGATTGGATATGTGTCGAAGTCCTCTTGGGATTGAAACTGAGTTGGATTTAAAAAAATAGAAACCCAAACTTCGTCGCAGTGGCGCTCTGCAGCCCTTATGAGGGACAAGTGACCCCAGTGGAGGCCCCCCATGGTGGGCACGAAGCCAATGCGTCTGCGGGGGGCCACGCAGCCTTCGCAGCGGCCCTGCTGCTGCTGCTGCTGCAGCAGCAGCAGCTGCTGCTGCTGCTGCTCCGGCGTCGCCGCCAGGATGGGGCAGCTCGCGGGGAAGCCCTCGCGCACGCGGCCGCAAGTGCTGCGGTGTACAGACACCTCGCGACATGTGCGCAGCACCAGCATTTCGGAACGCCGGGGGGAATTCATTTTTGTTTTTTCAACCCAAGGGTTTGGCTCGAGGGTTTAGGGTTTAGGGTTTCGCGCCGCTGCGGCTGCTCGCCCACTCTCGCGCCGTCAAAAAGGCCAAAAAACCCTTTCTTCCATCGCCTTCGGGTTTATTTTATATTTTATTTTCGAATTTTGATTTAATTTCCACTGAAAAGACGACTTCTGCTGCACCTGCTGCTGCTGCGGCTGAGAGCGACACGCTCGCCGAGCCCTGTCTGCGCTGCGGACTGTGGGGCCCCGCAACACGCAAAACAACAATAAACACTTTATTAAACTAAACGATATTTTTGTTTAACTTTTCAAATATTCAATTCATCAATCGGCTCGAGCTGCGCGTACACCCTAACGCCGCTGCTGCTGCTGCTCGTTCCTCCCAGGGCCGTCTCGACAGCCGATTGTTATCTAATCGCCGAGACTTTGTTGCAGTTCTCCGCAATAAATGCCAATACTTGTTTTTAATTATTTAATTTTATCTTTTTTATTTTTTTTTGTTTATTCTACATCATTTTCACTTCTCTAATTGCTAGAGCACCCACGCACACTGGAAAACGCCCACCACCTGATGGCCCTACAGCTCTGCAGAGCACCCTAAACCCTAAACCCTAAACCCTAGTAGCTCCAAAGGGCTTATTTATTAGACCCTGTTAATGCTCTTCTGTTTCTTTTTCTCGACTGTGAATGTCTCTCTTTGATCGTTTTCATTTCACTCGTTTCTATGTCTATTTTTGCTCTTCTTCGTACCCGCCTTTTGCTTCTTGCTGCTGTTTGCATGCATTTTTCTGTGTTTCCTTTTGCAATACTTAGCCTCTGTGTCTCTCCTGTCTATGTGCTTCCTAATTATCTGTTTCTAGCCCTCCTATAGGCCATCAAAGTCCATTTGCTGCTGTCCACCCCCCACTTACGGGCACGCCGCTGCCTATACGCGTGCTGCTGTTGCCAGCTGCTGCCCCTGTGGGCTTTCCCTCTCTGGGGGCCCCCCCTTTGGGGGCCCCCTCTTTGGGGGCCCCCTCTTTGGGGCCCCTCCCCCTGGAGTTGGCCTGTGGGGGGCCCCGTGGAGGCAGCAGAAGCTTACTCTTAGCTGCTTGACTCTGTGCAGGAATGGCAAATGTCACTGACACAGAAGCAGTTCTGTGGGGCCCCACAGGGCCCCTTGGTTGCTGCTGCAGCGCAGGAATAAGCACCGATCTGTGGGCTCGAGACTGCTGCTGCAGAGGCTGCTGCTTCGGCTGCCGCTGACGCTGCGGCGCTTGTTGTTGCTGTTGCAGCTCTTCCTGCTGGAGCTGCTGCTGCTTGCTTTGTTGCGGCTTTTCTTCTTGCGAGGGTGCCTGCTGCTGCTGCAGCGCTTGCTGCTGCTGCTGCTGCTGCTGCTGCTTCTGCTCGGCAGCGAGCCCCTTCTGCAAAGCCTGCCCCTGTTTTGCAGCTTGCAGGCCTTTGGGCTGCACACAAAAGCTTAAAGAGGCCCCCACACACTTAAGTGCTGCTTCGCTATTTCTATTAGCCCTTGCTGGGGGCCCCACACTTCCTCTCTTCAGGCCCCACATGCATGCAACGCTGGTTCTGCGTTTTGCTGCTGCTGCTGCACAGAGGCTTTGGTGCTTCGGCCGCAGCTGCTGCTGCCGCTGCTGCTGCTTTTTCTCTGGCTGCTGCTCCTGCTGTTGCGGCCGCTGCTTCGCGTTTTGCTGCTGCTGCGGGTTCTCTTTTGGTTGCTCTGCCTGCTGCTGCTGTTTCTGCGGTTCATGCTGCTGCTCTTTCTGCGGTTCCTGCTGCTGCTCTTCTTGCTGCTGCTGCGGCTGCAGCTGCACGCTGCACCTTATCCCTGTGGCCTCTGGCAGCAAAACAGCCTCAGCTTTAGTTGTGTGCCGCTTCAAGGCAGCAGCTCCAGCTTTTGCTTTTCTTCCAAGGGGCCCCCGGGGCCCCAGGGGCCCCTGCAAGCTTCTGCTGCTGAGAGGCCGCTGGGGGCCCCTGCTGCTGAGGCTGCGTGGCCGGTTTAGGAGCCCTTGGGGGCCCCTCGTGCTGCTGCGGGGCGAGGTGTTGCTGCTGCACCTAGCTGCAGTTGTGGGGAGCTTGGGGGCCCCACTAGGGCATCCCTCACCAGATAAATTAGAGTACCCTCCAGGGGCCCCTGAGTCACTAGGTGGGGCCCCCAGGGGGCCCCCAGCAGCCACTTTGTCGGCCACCGTAGGCCCTTTATTGCTGCAGAGACTCTCACTGTTTCCTGCACAAGCTTGTAGCGTTTCCGGGGGGCCCCCCAGCCCTGGGGCCCCCTCGCTGGGGGTCCCCCTTGGGTCACTCTCTCCCGAAGCCCCCAGAGGGGCGGCCCCTTCAGGTGCCCCCGTTGCTGCTGGGCCATCTTGGGAGCAGCAGCAGCTAGCCACTGAGGCTTCTCTGTCCAGCTGGCTAGCCAGCTGCTGCAGCCTTTTGTCTATTCGCTGCAGCTCTTGCAGCGCGGCGCTGGAGTGTCTGTACACCTCACAGGCGCGCAGTGCAGGGCGATCCTCAAGCTGAAATCTGAATTCAGTTTTAAAAACTAAACTCAACCTCTAAGTGGTTCGAATTATTTTGCTGCTTACACAAAGGCTCCTTCATTCTCGCTCTTTGCTGCTGCTGCTGCAGCACGCGCCTCCAGTACAGCACAGGCTTCGGAGCAGCGCTGCTTCGCTGCTGCTGTTTCGGCTGCTTGTGCGGCTCCTGAGCTTGCTGCTGCTGCCTCGTGCGCCTCTGCTGCTCGTGCTGCTGCTGCCTCTGCTGCTCGTGCTGCTGCTGCTGCCTCGTTCGCCTGTGCTGCTCGTGCTGCTGCCGCTGCCTCGTGCGCCTCTGCTGCCTCTGCTGCTGCTGTATGCGGCTGCGTTTGTGCTGCAGCACACAGCACTCTTCGGATCTCTGAGCCCCGCTGCCTTCGCCTGCGTTTGGCCACAATCCTCCACGGCCCTGCATCTGCTTTTGTGGCTTCCGTTGCTGCTGCTGCTGCAGCTGCTTCTGCTGCTGCTGTTTCTGTGCCTTGTGCTGTCGCTGGTTCTTTTTCAGGGCTTCTATTGCCAGCTTCTGCGGTTTCTGAGCATTCTTTGTCTCTTGGGGTCTCTTTTGAGTGTGCTGCTGCTGCTGTGTCTGCTGACACTGCAGTGCCTGCTGCTGCTGCTGCTGCTGGCTCTTGCTGCTGCGCGTTAAGCGCGTCAGAGTGGCGTTTTGGCCTGCTGCTGGCGTTGGGCTGTGCTGGGCCATCGGGAGCAACAGCAACAGCCAGTGCAGCAGCAGCAGCAGCACGGAGGGCAGCAGCAGCAGCAGCTTTCTGCAGCCGCCTCCGCAGGTTTGCCGGGACCCGCCCCAAACCTTCTGCATCTGCTGCTCCCTTCAAACGCCGCATGCGCTGCAGCAGCCTAGTTGAGGAGCCGCCGCAAAGGGTTTTGCCGGAGAGAAGTGCATCAAGAATTGGGGAAGAAGTTCTTCTTAGCCCTCCGGAGGCCCCGGGGCCCCCGTGGGGGGCCCCCAGGGGGCCCCTGTTTTGGGGGGTCCCCTGCATGCAGCCTGGAAGGCCATCTTGGGCAAAGGCACTTTGCTGTTTCGTGCCTGGAGAGATTAGGAGATTTGCTGCGGGGGGGAGAGAATGCGAAGGACGTTGCTGCTGCTGCTGTTGCAGCTGCTGCTGCTGCAACTGCTGCTGCTGTTGCTGCTCCTGGGGTGCCTCTTCTGCTGCCGAGGTTGCTGATTCTGCTACTGCTACTGCTGCTTGGAGACCTTCGTGCTGCTCCGTGTATTCTTCCCAGTTTGTGCAGCCTGCTCTGCGGTAGACGCAGCAGCAGCAACAGCAGCAGCAGCAGTAAAATCAGGTCCAACGCATAGATCAGCCACAGCACGCTTAGCAGGTATAGCGGCAGCAGCAGCAGCAGCAGCAGCAGGCACAGTGGCACGGGCGTCAGCAGCAACAAAAAGCCGGAGACACAGCGGGAGCAGCATGCGTCACTTTATTTTTTCCCTGTTGGCAGCTATTGCTGCTTCGAGTTCCTTCAATCTTCTTTCTGCTTCCTGCAGCTGCGCATCATTTGCTTCGACTTTGTCCCAGAGCTGCAGCACCAACGCCAGCTCTTCAGTTTGCTGCTGTATTGCCTTGTCTTGCACCAGCCCCTCCAGCTGCAGCAGCTGCTGCCGCTCCCGCAGCAGCAGCTCGCGCACCACGCGATTCGGGTCTTGCTGCTCTGAAGAAGCAAGAACAGCAGCGACAAGTAGGAGCAGCAGCGCAAGACACACAATCAGCAGCAGCAGCAGCAGCAGAAAAATTGCCAAAAGCAGCAGCATCATGCTGTTGTGATGTATCTCGTTGGTTTGCTGCAGAAATAAAGACTTAAGCAATCAAGCATTATTAGCTGCCACCTCTATCAGCCCACAGAACCAGGCAACAAGCAGCAGCTGCAGCAACAGAAGCTCAAGCAGTAGCAACGCAGCAGCAGCAGCAGCGACCGCACACCATCTGCTAGAGCAGCAGCAGCAAAAGCAAGGGATGTAGGGGCAGCAGCAGCAGCAGCAGCAGCAGCAGCAGCATATGACTTTACTCTTTTTTAGTTGTGAAGATGGAGGGGGAGTGTATCCTGAACTCCAGTCCAACTTCGACAATTTGGACTTTTCAAGGGCTTCAATGGTCCCCGCGCCCTCCGGATGCTGCTGCTGCTGTTGCTGTGGCCGCTGCTGCTGCTGCTGCTGCTGCTGCTTCTGCTGCTGCTGCTTCTGCTGCTTGTTTGGGGTGTACGTACAGTCTTCTTCGAGAAAGTAGTGAGACAGAAAAGCCGGCACGAAGACACATTCATCTTCTTCTCCTGCTGGATCTGTCAAACAAAAAACTTCGTTATCTTCTCCCATCTTTGAGCCAAACGCTGCGCTGCAGCAACAGCAGCAGCAGCAACAGCAGCAAGAAAAGCAGGAAGTGCTGCAGCTCGCGCAGCTTGGCTGCTTAATGGGGGGCTCTGCAAGACCGAAAGTGGCAGCAGCAAGGGCACGAGCCCTTGAAGCATCAGCAGCAGGAGCAGCAGCAAATGCAGCACTGCTGCAGCAGCAGAGCAGCTGCTGCAGTGCTGATTCTCACATGCGTTGCTGCTTCTCTTCTTCTGTAGGCTGGGGTAGTGTGAATACTTTGAGTTGCGGTGGAGGTACACCTGGCAGCAGAAAAGGTCCTTGAGGTTTCCCTGTAGAGTTCATCAGATTTAAATGCATTTCTGTCAAAGCTGACAGCTGAAGATGCAGCAGTTCCGTGCACGAGCTGCTGCTGCTGCTGCTGCTGCTGCTGGGGCTAAGCAAGGGACTACCAGCCTGGCTCGGGCTGCCCCTTCCGTCCCTGGCCTCATTGTTGTTGCTGCTGCTGCTGCTGCATGGCGCAGCTACCTTTGCATCCCCCAGCACGCCAGACCCCTTCAGGTCTAGCTGCAGCTGCGCATCCAGCTGAGGGTTCCCTGTTGCTTCTGCAGAAGCAGGTTCTGCCTGTTGCTCTGCAGCAGCAGCAGCAGCAGTGCCGCCATTCCCTAACTCATCTCCATAATTATATTTCACATGACGCTTCCGAACTCCCTTACTGAGAACTGCCCTTGGAGCAGAAAGCTCACGGGAGGAAGGGCTTCTTGTGGGGCGCGAAGAGCCATGGTGGTTTTGTTTCATTATTCAGTGAGGTGTACGTACACCTGACGGCTGTGCTGCGGTAGAGTCCCGCATGGACTAACGGGCCACAAGAACTACTCTTCAAAACCAAATGTTCAAATCTAGGCTATACACCCTCACCAAAAAGCCAAAACCCTAAATTTTTGAAGCACAAGATAAGCAACTGTGAGCCACATGGCCCCAGACTTGGGTAAATGGAAAGGTGAGGGGGCTGTAGAGAATTTTATCTGCTTTAAGTCTAAACCCTAAACCCTAAACCCGAACGAGTGAACACCAAGTGCTAAAGCCTGTACCCTGCGTCTTCTGGATCTGCCAGTTCCTTAGCAGATTCTACGCAGAAGATTGTTGAAAGATCTAGCTCAAGCTCACGTATCAATGTATTGCCAAGTTTGTCTCACTGTCTCGTGTATAACTGCCTGTGTGGCGGCTCTGGTGCAGGAGATGAGGACTCCCGTGCTAGTAGCTTTACAACAAAAGTAACCAATCAGTTAGACAGTTAACCAATGGATTAGATTGGCTTCTCTTCTTGTTATCAGATGGGGAGGAGTCCATGAGGTTACTAGTGAACAAGAGGCAGCGGCTGCTTGCCAACCTTTTGGCTGCATGCTCGACTCAGTTCTGGAGCTATGATATCCTCAGCCTCCAAAATTGCTCCATTTTTAGGCTGGTGGGAACTTCAGAAATTAATTAAATCATAAACATTACTTGTTGAAAAGAAAAGAAATTAGTTAATTTTGTAGCGCTGCAGCTTTGACGATGGTCGGAGGCCCAGGAAGGAAAAGGAACAGGAATCCACGTAGGCGCTAGCTTTCAACTGCTCCATGACTTGTTCATTTTAAATACTATTTTTAAATATAATTATGTAAATTATTGACTTTATGTCAAGGACGAGATGAATTGTAGGCCCAAAATTGTTGGGGCTTCAGCTGGCTTGGCTAACTTGAAGTGACCTCGATACGCCCAGTTAGCCTGCAGTTATAAAAAATCCATTTGAGCCCCGCCTTGAATAAGTAGCCTAAAGCCAAATCAGGAAAGTAACAGAAACATGAAGCTTGTAGATCGCCACTAGATTTATTCACTATACACACTCCGCCAAGAACAGCGCTGTGGCCCCTCACCCAATCGCGGCCCCGCGTCCATTTGTGTTTGTTATTAGTGATCAACCCTAACTACCAAGCATGTAGTAGCAGCAAGGTGTTCTCACGCATTTTTTACATTCAAGTACATGTGACAGCATGAGGGGGGTCACCTCGCATTCCTTCAAGTGTCCCGCAACATGCAACACCCACAGCACCAGCGGCGTCGTCGAGAGCACCACGAGTGTCTCACCTGCGTATGGAGGTGGCCGCAGAGAGCATAGTAGGGCTTATTTATAGTTAAAGTAGGAAGGTATGGCCCAGTTACTCTTCTGATAGTTTGTAGGTACATTCAAGTTCGGGTATTTACAAAGATCTGAAACGGCTTCTTTCTTGAGTTCATCTGGCTTCTTCCATCTTGTCGACAATGTGTAGCTGTCAGCATTTCCTCGAATATAAACAAGACAAACAGAGGCTTGGTACGAAACAATCGCAGGGCAGATGATTAGATTACAGAGGAGCGCACAAGTACCTGGGCCTACTTGGCAGGATGATGCACATGTTGTAAGACATGACATTTGAAAGTTCAGAAGGGAGAAAAGAGTTAATTGGTGCTTTTGACAAGAAGGGAGGTCCTACAGTGCTCAGCAAAGTTGCAAATTTACATACACCACCGCGCTGATAAAATGTTTGAAAGAGTTCAGAAAGCGGATGTCCATCTGCGCTTGTGCTGCACTTGGCTAAGAATGCTAATGGTGAGAAAATCTGAAAGCCTTTCCGTCACTAAATGCCGCTGACTCTCTTCCTCATTTCCTCAATCGGACGAAATAGCGTTTGCAAAGCTTTGGGGCACCCCGCATTTTCAGGTGTCAGTCACACACATTTCAATCACGTGATCTTGCATCTCTAACAAAAGGAACTTTGCAATTTTTTTTTATGATTTCGGCTTAACTTCGCTGCATCCTTTCTCTACACTCCTCGGCCCATGCAAATGGAATGCCGTGGAGTCAGGCCTGGCCATATGCACTTTTCGATGTTGCTTTGGTGGCAGCCTTCAAGTAGATTGAGTTATAGATCAACGATAAATGTAGTTGCTCGTCAGAATGAAAAGCCAGCTCTCAAGGCCCATGACCTCCCTACAAAGATAAGCTCCAAATTGTTACGAGGTATTGGTGGCGGCGCAGCTCAGCAAAATGGGTACTATAAAGACACAATGAATCTGGAAGTTGGCCTCAAGTTCAACATCATGTGACTTCTTATTCTCTTGCTCGCAGTAACTGGCCGTAGCGAAACGAATTCGCCTTACAAAGCATAACATGCTGTGCATGTCAACTGCCTTTTAGACTTGTCACAGTGGCGCTCTGTCATTATTGGCGTTCAAAGCACCGGTTTAACGAGGCACGAGAGAAAGCTGCTTTTGAGCTGACGAGGAAGGTTATCGCGAGAATCTGCAACAGCTATTCTGCAGGGAATGCTGCTGGTATGCAAAGTATGCTATTCTGCAGGGAATGCATACTTTGCATACCAGAGTCATTCGAATGAGATCAGGCACCTCTGCGGCTAAAGTGCCCAGCTAGCATGCATTTGAAAGCTAGCTGGAGAAGCGCAGCAAGAGTCCGAAAGCAAAAGAAAGTACTCAAGAACAGCAACGCTGTGGCGCCTAACGTCCTACTCTCGAGAGTCAACTCTCAGGTTCCTATATGTAGCCTTGGGCTCAACATAAACTCGTCTGGATGGGAAATATACTGGACAACGCCGAAGAAAGCACTAGTATGGAGGCTGTGTGATGGGACATCGAAAGCAGCCTAGGGGAACTCCGGAGGTGGCGTTTGTTTGCTGTGGGTGAGCGAATTCAAAGCCCGTCCTATCGACCTAAAGATTGGTAAAAGTCCATAAATAATAAAAATTACATCTCAGTGCAGGCGGAAGCCAAAGAGTTCTCTTGAGGACAGCGAACAATGGAGATGGACACAGCGCCGGGCGCACTTAGTGTGTCCTGCCGAAGCTCAGCGTGGCACACAGCGCAAATTGGCGTTACAAGCTTTTGAAAAAGAATTAAATGCTTACCTGCATCAAGCCAAATAGTAGCTCCTTGAAGCAACTCGAAGCTGCTGTGGAAGGCTCAGGCTGGCCCAGGTGGCCGAAACCAAACTAGGCGGCACAGGACATTGCCCATTACTGAACGCGGAAAGTCTTACAATCGGGTGATCCGATAGGCATTTTGGAAGGATAAAAAAGATTATTCAAAAATTTCATCAGCGTTACTGTTTAGACAGCAGCGGCTCAGGAAAGAGCCCCAGAAAGGGCACCGACAGAACGTGTGCAATGCTGGGAGTCCAGGGCGTGCATCCAAAGTCACACAATGAAATATAGAGGAAATGTGAATGGTCTCTTATAGATACTTCTCACTTAATGCTTAGAAGAGCTGTACTTTGCATCGTAATCCATATCTATTCTCAGATCCCTGCAAATGCTGCGTCATGCACATACTATTTCTGTCCTTGAATAGTCGTGGCCGATCTATTTAAGACTGGTGCAGTACTTCTTCGTCGTACAAGGCTCTGAGAGACTCGGCCTTGTGGTCATGGTCCTGCGGTTGCAGTGCCATAGTGTTGGCAGAACGATCAAATCGATTCTCTGGGTCTTAGTCAAGTCCAAGCTCCGTCCCTTTCCTACTTGAGCTAAGGCAACTTTTTGCCTCTGAACACTATTGAGGCAGCTGTTTGCATGCAGTGGGGCCTGCTGGATGACCCAGATAAACGCAGCTGGGACCTAAGCCACCATTTCGATGAGGCACGTCGCCTTACCCGCGCCATGTTTGCATGGACTCCACACAGCGGGGCGGCGAACGCCTTCGTCACCCCCTCTGGGCAGTTCGTCTGCATTCATTAGAGCAAGATGCCCATTTACTGGCCTCGGCGGCTGCCATAATATGCTCCTTGCTAGCAGCGCCGACACACACAACTCGGCCGGAATTCTCCACTGCTGCCCAGCCTCCAGCTACGATTGCGGAGGTGAGGTCACTTGGAATGGCCCCATACCCCCCCAGAACACTTTTTAATCCATACCTTAAATGGGCTACTACTGGCTAGAAAAGAGGAAAGACCTGGCACCCAAAAGCAAACAAAACGTTAC